TTATAAATTAAAGTCTCATTCAAAATTCAATTACATTTAAAACAATTTCGAATAAAACAGTTAACATTTAATTCATTCAAATAAATTATTATTCTAATTTATCTTTTCAATATAATTCATTATTCAAAGAAGAAGAGAAGAGAAAAACAAAAGGAAAAAACATCATTCGGTTCATGATCTCAATCAAAAACTTAACAATCTCCACAACCCCTAAAATGATAAAAAAAAATACTATTAAATTTTGCACTGAAGCATATTTTCTTTCATTTTTCATTTTGTTTTATCTAATAACACATTTAAAACACGTTTGAAACCATTTCGAGACCAGTTTGTTTTGTGTTCTTGTTTTTTCTTTTCTTTTTTCAGGTCAAATCAGAGAAAACACACAAATTTGGTTACTTCTTTATATCTTTTTTATATAAATCTTTTTCGTATAAATCGTAAGGGTCTATTGATCAATAATTTCAATTAAAATATCATAATGAAATCTTATGTAAGAAGAAGTGAATGCTACAATGAACACCTTACTCTACAGTTATAATAGAAATAATGATGTGACTAATTGAAGCATTAACAAATATAGACCAATTTTTTTTGTAAATTTACAAACATGTAATTCAGTTTGCTAATTACAGTTTTGCAGTTTTCTAAATAAATTTTAATAGCTGATTTTATGAATCAGTTAAAACTAGATCACCATGGAGAACCTGAAAGCAATGGACAGCCGTTTAGTTCTATTGTGGGGTTCCTCAGCAGTGCGCATCCACGATCACACCTTGCGAGATTCCAACCCAAGACCTATCAACCTCATGCGCAAACGATTATCCCCTAGACCACTGGACCGGCATCCAATAGTGATAATGTCTAACTTCAACCAATCCAGGAATTTGCGCCACCGTCCATCATTTTCTTCAGTGAGTTACTACCACACAATAGACCCAGCTGAACTCCACTAATCACTGTTTTTCACTAGAACTCCAGGAAATACCTCTTAAAGACCAATAGGTCCTCGCTTCGAATCTCGCGAGGCGGGATCGTAAATGCGCACTGCTGAGAAGTCCCACAAAAGGACGAAACAGCCGTCCAGTGCTTTCAGGTTCTCCATGGTGGTCCGGCTTCAATTGACTCATGAACTTAACTATTAAGATTACTATAATATCCACAAAAACCCTTATCTGATTTTTTATAAATGTTCCTTCGTAAATTAATCGTACTACCTAGTTCATGAATTGTTTGAGGACAATGAATGTAGTTATATTTATATTCTAATAAAGTTTATTTGAATGGAACTATTTAAATTAGGTGTAAAACTAGGTATGTCTTTCTATAGCTGTTCAATTAGCAGACATACGATATTATATTGTCTTTAATAAAACTTTCAACTTAACCACTTTTCCGTCTAACTTGAATTATATATATATATATATATATATATATATATATATATATATACGATTATCCACAAATTTAAACGAACTGACTTCAAAGGGAATGTCGTTATGAAATTCATATCTGATTTCTGTACTCGGAAGCCTTAAATTTAGTTCCTTATATTACCATGATCCTAACCTCTTTCCTAATGTTCTAAGTTGTTTTTGACTCATTTATAATTATCTTATTTGCTTTCATCATTCCTATTTCTCTATTGAATTATTCACAATTACTTAGGAAAATAATACTGTTATTTAATCTCATACATATAGTTCCCTTTATTATTTTAAATAGAGCAAGAACGAGAATTAGTGCAGAATAATATGAATTCATTTTATTTCGTTAGATTCTCATCAGCTGCTTACAACCTAAAATAAAATATCTAATTGAAGTATCATTGATTTGTAAAATATATAGATTTGGTTGAATAGGAATGCAAATGAGAAACCTATGTACAACTGAGGCTATTGCTATCTACCAGTTTACGCCTAACCTTTACGTACAAGAACAGTATGTTTAATCCCTCGTTCTTCCATGATCCTAACCTCCCTTTTTATCTTCCATAACCTGTCGTTTCTACTTATCGTTCCTAATCCATTCCAACTATTTTCACAACAATTAAATAGCAAGTATCATAGCTTTCAATTATTCTGTTCTTACTAGCTATCAAGTGGACAATTATTTCACCTTATCACTTTTTCACTAGCCGATCATCACATGATTTCCTTTCAATATCTGATTTTCAGATCTTGACAACGCACCTCCTCAAGTTAAAAAAAAAGTTAATTAGCACCTCTTTATAGAACGCTATCTTAGCAAAATTGACTATAAATACGACTGTATAGCTTAGGTAAATGAAATTTTCTTTGCTGAATTACCTCCCTTCTTCTTCTTCTTCTGTAACGACACAATGGATCTTTCTTTATTTATACAGGTTTGTGTTGGACGATGAATCAAAATGCTAACTGAATTCAGCTCATCTTCTGCTAAGTGCTTACATAAGAAATTTTCATTGTGCTCTAAATAAAACCAATATAATCGAGTGGATTAAATGTAATATGAATTGTTTTACCAGACAACGGATTATATAACATGCATTCTGCTGCTGTAATATATTACCGCACTGGGAATATGTACAAACTTGTTGACAGTGAAACAGTCCTTGACCAATAACTGAATAGTTGCCGGTATTACGTTTATCTTGTCGTTTTCTATCGATTAAGTTACAATACGGACAGTAGTCTAGGTGACTCACAATAGCGTGGACAATGTTTTTTGTCAGCCGGTTGGTAGTAGTCTACAAGAAACCCTCAACTAGATTTTAAGCCAGACAGGACTCATTAGCAAGGTGTACTTGGAGTCTTAAGGGTGATAATGCTCCATGAGAAATATTGACCTGAGTTATACTAATTCATTGTCAGAAGCATTACCACTCAGCTATTCAATGAGTAATTGATTGCCTGTAGGTAGACTTTTCTGACAAAAATTAGTTTGCACAAAATCTAGATCTACAGTTTCCTGCCGACTAATCACTACTTAACAGCAGCTAAATAATCAAAAGCAGAATTTGTCAGTAACTGTTTCAGTTAATTTCCCTAACATGCAGTACAGCAATTATTCAGTTTTTGATTGAGATCATGAATCGATTGGTGTTGGACCACTATTGAACACCTGGACGGCCGTTTTGCACTATTATAGGGCACCTCAGCAGTGCACATCGATGATCCCGAATACAGGATTAGAACCCAGGACAACCGGTCTCGCGTGCGAACGCTTAACCTCTAGACCACTGAACCGGCCGGCATCCAACAGTGTTAATGTCTAACCTCAACCAATCCATGAAATTGAGCGATCATCTTTCATTGTATGAGGTAGATACATGTCTCTTCCTGACATGAATTAGATCCACTGGTCAGTTAATAAGTTATTAAATTCCCAATTACGGGTGTATTAGTTCGACAGATATCAAATGTCCAAGTACATTAAAGCTACAATTTACTCGAATAATAAAAAAATTACGATGACGATTAAACAGAACGAAGGCATGAAGTCAATCGGATATTTAGAAAATCTTCCAGCAGTAAAAATATGAATTAAACTGAATGATCTAGTTTCCAAAAACACAAGGGGTTCATACTTAATCGACCCATAAGCAGAGGTTGAAAACATTAACATCATCAGCCCAATTAGATTTTAAAAATTACTAAATAAAATAATGTGGAAGACTGAAGCACTATCTAAAGATTATTACAATAATCACAGCTTAATTGTTCAATATTTAGATCTCTATTCTTGATGCTCATGTTTCAAACTCAAAGTAGAACGGCGTGAACTGCTAGGCAGCATACTCGTCCTTTGGTCGGCAGCTTCATCTCTCGTCTACGCCACAGTTGACACGAGTTGGTAAAAGGTAGTCGAGCTTTCTGAATTTGCGCCGAGATTTCACCAAACACAACTCATAAAGGGGGTGATCAACACGCTTTGGTACTTCACTTTTACCATTATTTCAGTTGTTGATTTAGACCAGTACTGAAGCAATATTGTGCATTTATGAACCATTCAGAAGCTATACTATTTTTAAGTAGTTTGGTATCTGAAGCATAATTTTCAGATATGGATGGTAAAATGACGTTGTGGACTATTTATTATTTCAGTCACAGAAAAAAAGGTTTATTTCATAAAAGTACACTAGATTTTCTGACTTAAACGTTATCTAGAGTTGAGATGAAGATAGCACCACAAGTTCGTTCCAGTATTTAAATTACCAGTGATTTTAGAAATTTAAATATGGATAGTTTGATATGAAGACGTAGACTATCATTAGCTCAATACATTTTGAGCAATCTGATGGCATATGTACTTATTAAGAACACTATCATGCTAGGAACACCTTATTATGCTTATTCTCCTTCATATTACTATTGTCTAGTTAACCTTTTATTTCCCCTATAGAAATGTTCTTAACATGTATGCGCTAATGTATTATATGGTTCTAATAATCTTCGCCTTCCTGTCTGTTCTGCTTAATAAAACGCATAACTGTGATTATTGCATATGGATAAGCAATGTGTTTGATTATCAGATTTATATGGGATTTTAATATTTAACTCATTTAAATAGAACAAATAAAATCGAAATACCTAGCTTTTGACTACTAGATGAATTAACTTTAAGGATTTATTTACTTTTAAATTGAGATATAAGATTTCAATTACTTGACATTGAACTATTAACTAAGTGATTCAAATAACAATAATAATTACCCTTCAAAGCGGTATAAGTATGTTGTACATACATATGAACTTGTTGTTACCAGGAAATATCAACGATTACAAAGAAGTTATGCATTGGCTAACGTACAGTCCAGTTTATCTGCCTATAATTTTGGAATGCAGTCATTTCATAAACTGATGTTTACAGTTAAACAGAATGTTTAGATGTCAAAAGGTATTAAGAATTCATAAGATGATTAATTTTTCTAGAGGATTATGTCAGAAAATTTTATCAATCGAACATTATAACACAAATTCTATTTGTAGGTATGACCCTTTCCTATGAAGACCAAATGGTTATATTGTAATTTACATTTATTACTACTGTGTGATCAGGAAGAAGTTATGAATGAAACTCAGAATTCAAATACAATAATTTGAACAGAAAATACAATAAATATAAGAAACGAATTCACTTTCAGCTTATTGTACGTAGATACGAACTATGTATTAAATTTTGATTTAAGTAGAGATGCATATAAACGCTGTCCGTCTTATGTTTTGTTAACACGAAGAAATTATTACTTGATTTTAATAATTTCATGTACTTTGGTTCGCACAATATACTGATCGGACACACGAACTTCGTACGATCTTTACGATTTAGCATTAACTGTGGATTGTATAGTTAATTAACCAACATATAAAGGGTGCAGTTTCTCAATCAGCATACAAACCTGTATGAGGTCGATTTAGGTTTAGACTGTAGCATTTATTCAAACAGAAAATTATTATTAGTCTAAATTACAAAATAAATTCACTATACTTTGTCAATTTTTTAGCTTAAACGTGAAACATTTATTGAACGAGACACCCAATACGTAGAAGTGAGTTAACCGTATATATGTATACTAATCATTGAAGAGTTTCAAGACGAAAGATGATAATGTAAACAGAAAACTACACATGCAATTAGTATCTACATCACAAAATCAATGAAAAAAACACATATTTGTACAAAAAACAATATGCAACAACAAAAAATAATGTGCGTCTATAAAATATAAACAAATTCACAAGACTTTATAAAAATGAAAAGTCATTAGAGTGAAAATGATACACATACACCTATATGAATACTTCTTAAACGTGTTTAAAATTTACAATCCAAAACAGTTATATTAAGCAAAAAGTGTAAATTTTTAATAAGTACAAATATTGTTTTTAGTCACTTGATACTGTTATTCTAAAATTGAAAGTAATTGAGATGCACATGCTCGTACATTAGAACAAACTGTAGGTGTTGTTATCCAATAATTAATAATTTTACGAACTGATTCCCAGGCGGTAAATTCTTCAACATTGTTATCAATATTTACATCGTTATCAACACTTTGAGGTAAATCTTTCAAACCAATCATAGCTGATGCAAGAATACGAATACGTTGTGTTTTTAACTGCTCATCTGTTGAATTTAATCCTGAAGTTACTGATAATAAACAGGTACCAATAGATACAAATAAGTGATTTACAGCTTCAGGGTGTAATTGTGTAACACCACTACAACCATGATCCAAGGCAAGTGATAGAATATTAAGACTTATTCGAATACAAACACCAGATATAAAGCGCAGTTGAGGAAATATATTTGACTCGATAGAAAACGGTTTCGCCAAATGAACAAGTACAGACATATTATACATCAAACAGGCCAACGCAACCTAAAAATAAAAAGACGGATAAAATAGTTTGTTGTAAACAGCATCCATCGATTAATAAACACCAAAAAACTACCTAGGAATTGAATTCATGAAAATTTCGAAACAGGGAAATCATAGAACTTAATGTATACACAGAACACCAACACAACGTTCATATTTCCAAGCCACTGATAGTAACTATTATCCATGCAAAAAATACAGAACTATTCCGAGAATAATACAGGCGATACCAATGACAAAGGATGAGAGTTGTAAAATATCACGAATTGATGACAATTTTAAATCTGAACTGTTGGATCTAAATTCAATGGTCTAACAGTATCGTGCTGGGGACGAAACCTTAAAGTTTCAGATTCTGTTACAATCAAAGTTGTGAATCTGTTTTATTGAGAAGAATTAAGCTAAAACGAAACATAGGCACCAAGCTAAAGTTTTTAATGGTTTTACAAATTTTAAAATTTATGATGAAAACTAGTTTTAAACTGAACGGTTTCAATAAATTTCCTAGTCACAAATAATACGAAAATTATAATAAAATCTGACCTGATGTGGTTTACGCGTTACAAACTGCAATTTATTATCATTAACAAGTTCAACTAATCTCCCAGTTATTCCAACAGCAGTAATTAAAGATTTCGGTACAACGTTCGGCTTATCACTACTATTTGTTAAGGATGATGATGATGATGACGACAAAGACTGACGCTGAATTGTGTCAATAAATCTTGGACCATCTGCAGCTAAAGAGTTTACTAATAGACGTAACATCAATAAACAATTTGCACTTGACAAATCAGGATTGTTAAAACTAATTAACAATAAATAATTCCAATTCGTTGTTTCAAATATAATATCACTGGATATCGGCCAAAAGACTAAACACCGTAAAATATCCAATAAGGGGAATATTGTATCTATGAAAAACAGAAATTAAGATCAATTTTAAAAACAATCTAAACATATATGATAAACCATTATAAGTTAATACTTAATAAATCATGTTGCTTTTTCACTGGAAAAAAATTATTCAAAAAATTTCAATTACGTGTGAAGATTATAAAATTACGATGAATTCAATGTATGCAATACTCATTACTATGTATTTTTGCATATCTGTAATTACGCATTATTTTCCATTCATGATAAAGACGAATTTCTTTTTACTTAACAAATAATGAGTATACTATGCATCCTTTACAATATGCAATGGATTTCAGATATGGTATTCCATGGTTGATGATAATATGTAAGTTACTAATAATTTATCATAGATATTTTATGAATATTGCTCATATTTAGGGGGAACCAAAGAGTAAACAGTATTATTGTTAGTGTACTAGGAAGATGTGATAATGAGGCTGTTTAATACCAACCATTAAAGTGAACAGGACACGTGTCAATTATGCACAGCTACTAAGTGATTTTTTGCTTCACGCAGAATTGTGTCAAGATTTATTAAAAGAATATTTGTAATCTGTTCAGTGATTGGTCTGAAATGCTTATGGAAGTCCTGACTTTTTTGGTTGAAATTCATTGTAAAACCGTTATTTTTGGTTGAAAACTGGGTGAATTAGTTTAAAATCAGTTGCTGCTATGCACATGCACGCATTTTCCTATAATCAACTAAACCTTGAAATTATCATTACTCTACACATTTCATGCCTCGATTTCACTGGTTTTCTTTAGAAATCTTTGAATTGTATTCTTTTGTTCGTTACTACTGTCGATAAAATTAGTATTTTAACTTTTTAGTTCATTTGTCTTGTTGATTTTCCCTCGTTGTGATGATGTGAATAGACAAAGATCTACTAAACTAATAATAATTAATACCTTCAACAAACAATAATTACCCAATTTTAAAATATTCACCTTGAAACAACTTCAATATACGATAGTTACTTTATTTATGGACTTTATTGGAGCATAATGTGACGTATGAATAAGCATATGACAACAGTATATTAAACTTGATAACATACCGGGAGTCCACTTGTTTATTGCATCTAGAATATGAGTAGTAAGATGAACAGCTTCAGTTTCAGTACAGTCATCAATGTTGAATTTTCTACATGCTTCTAAAAATTCATTATTTAACGGAATCGGTGATTGGACATTGAACGACTCTAGTTTAGCTGTATGTTAAGGAAGAGAATAGTAAACATCGATGTCTTATAGTTTGCTCCATTAATATTTTACCCACACATTTGTAATTAAAAGACCAAAATAGCTGGTTTCATGTAACAATTCTAAAGCTAAATATACGTCAATTTAAGATTTTAAATGATACGAAATAGGTGTAGCAGTCTTCATATGTAGGATATTATCGAAAAGTGGATTTAAGAGGAAATACCAGATGTATAATAGTATTTATTAATAAACTCAATGGCGATTATATTTGATTACCAAGCACACAGAATGTTCACAGAAAAATAGTTCCTTTCGTAACGAGCCTGTAGGTAATCCTGACGACTGGCTCCACCTTTGCCCCAAATAAACTAATTAGAAGCATTCACGAAGCGATAATATTAATTGATTAAGACAACTGGGATTAAGCTCAAATTAAATTTAAAGGAACTTAATGACCAGACATTATTGCATGTTGCACTTTTGAACTGAAATATGGGTGGATGATATTGACCGAAGACCAGAACCAAATTAGGTGAAACAGTGTTTGAACTTACCTGATAGTGAAAAGTTGAGTGCTTTAACTACTAAGCTACCTTTATAATTGATCAGTATGACTATTTTTAAAATTCTTTAATGGAAGTATTAGTTAAATTGGCGATCACCAACTATGTTTAATGAATAGTTGACAAACGGTCATATTACTAACCGCCATTAAAATAACTTGATTGGTTATTAACCGATCTATGATTATTTATCTCATAAATGGTTAGCGGACAAAATCAATTATAAAGTTGTGATGGAATACCGTGAGTATAAAACGTTATAATAATAGTAATAATAATAATAATAATAATAATAATAATAATAATAATAATAATAATAATAGCATTACTAACAACTTCGGTTTTGATTGCGTATATTAGTGATCAAGTTAGTAACTTAGAATCTCATCAAAAGGTATAGCACGTTTACATTTCATTATTTGTGACATATTAAACTAACCAATAAATAAGTACGAATAGGCCAAACAATAAAATGATGTACAAGTGGAATTATATATTTTAAAGGTTAATTACATAGAAATATTAAAAATTAACCTACTCATTAAAGGACCAAGGCTGATTGATTTCATAGATATAAAGGTATCGGGTGGGAAATGAGATGTAAAAACCGACGTTCCATTTGTGGTGGACTTGGTTATCGTCGAAGAAAAGCTATTTGGGATATATCGATGTGCTCCAGTAAAAGGATCACTGTGAGAAAGATCATTGCTGACAACTGGATTAATTGGAGGTCCTGCATTTTGAATAATGAAATTAGCAACTGTATCTAGATAACCGGCAGGTAAATCATGTCTTTGAATAAAAGAATGAGCTGCAAACCAGGGATCTTCAGTACGATTGTAAGGTAGTTTAAGCCCAGGCATGCTATCATCAATATCAACCGTAAATACAAAATCGTATTCCTTAGATGAAATATAAACAATGGTATTATAAAATGGACGTAATACATATTTTGAAAATATGCATATGAACTAAGCAATGATTAATAAGTTGAGCAACAAAATAAATAGAATAAAGGTTAAGAGATATTACACAAACTTGTAAGGTTGATTGTACAGCGACATCTATCTAAACGATCTATGTTGTTTTGAATCTCCTGCTCCAATTGTGTAGTGGTCTAATGACTAGAGTATAAAGCTTTAACAAATCTTCCGTTCGAAACCCACCCCAATTACTTCCATTTGCCAAGCCGAGTAGCGTTACTAGCCCCTAAACAAAATTGGTGTGTCTTAAAGCGCAGTACAGAATCTGTACTTGGTAAATCACTCGTAATCTAAAAGTGTAAACTATCGACAAAATCAAGAGATATATTTAAGTGTTGTTGAATGAACTAAGTCACTGGGTATTAAAAAACTTTCTGTAGTAAACGTAGAAACTGTAGAGTTTCTCAGTTTAGGGGTGATTCTTGAAGTACATAGGCTTGATATTGAAAAAGAATTAAAAGACTCATGTGGTAACCCTTCGAAAAATATTGTTAATTAATTAACTATTGAGTTCATTGTACGAAAATCAGACTACAGATAGCGGATAAGGTAATACTATGGACCCTAATGACAAGATAATCGAACTGATCAAAAGATATGGTAAACTCATCAAAATAAGTAAGTGGTACTTCATCTAGAAACATACGGTTTTTAAGAACAGCTAGAGTGGATTTCAGGATTTAGGCTTTGAATTTGTGGGAGAATTATTATCAAAACGAATCTCAAACCTTCAACCAACTAATACTACCTGTGGGGATACGAACTGGGAACATAAAACACTTATAATTCATTAAATCTAGTCTACTTCAATCTTAAAAATAATCAAGCAAGATTTTTTAAAAATATATTGGGAATTTATATAACACATAGTGATCAAATTAGCTAAATAAAAACAAAATAAATAAATGTATTCAAAATTTATTAAGCTAATCAATAGAATAGTTCTGGCAAATGAAGGGAATTAACTATTTCAAATCTTTTCAATAAAGCTACCGAGATTCAATTCATCGCATTGATCAAAGCGTCCTAATAAATTGTCTTTATTCTAACAAAAGTTTGATTTTAGGGAATAGACAAAAATAAAAACAACAAAATACTGGAATCATCAAAAGATTATTAGATATTCAATGTATTTATTAGATGTGCTTACTTTTTACAATACAAGAGCATGAACGCATATAAACATTTTTTATCAAATGAACTTTGAAACATATCACATTATTGCTATAACCATCAATTATTTTGCTTTGTTACGGGTTCAATATCAAACAAAGTAGTACTTAAATGATCTTAACACAAATTACGATTGAAGTTTGCTCTATAACGAAGTAAAAGTTAGTAATTGAACTACTAATGTAACAACGTACCATCGTGTTTATTTGACAGGGATTCATGAGAAAAGAAAGACTTATTTTTACGAGTCAATAATAACAGAACTGAATCTTTATCAGTAACTTAAGTAATAAGATTCGACATGCAAATTTCACATAACAAATAACAAAAACGACAAAATTAATGAAGCGCGAGAGACAATAATAGCTTACTTTGCCTTCATGAACTTGACGATTAGAAGGTTGACTTCCCACAACATCACCAACTTCAATCCACCGAGTATCATGTGAAGACCATTGATAACAAACAGAGCGGCCATTATCGTTAATGACCATGATCTGTCCTTCCGATTTCCCTATATAATCAAAATCGATAATAATGGAAAATAAGTATTCGCAGAACAGTGATCATACCTACTACTCTTTTTAAGGATGTGGATTTTTTTATTGTTTACATTCAAGGCTGAATTTAACCAATCCCAAGTGGCATATGAGATCCTAGAATAGATACCTTATGATTACCTAATTATATTTTAGATAGAAGTTAGTAACAGAATCCAGAACGTGTTTTCTTACTTTCGTTAGTCATATCCGTCGAAGAAGTGGATGTAAATCATGACTCCGTAACCTGACTGGCAACACTCTGGACTTTAAGGAGATAGATACTGGGTTCGAGTCTTTGTGTGAAGATAAACACTAGGGTGAACTTACAATCATCAGATAGATACCAACTCGGATGAAGCACAAATTTTGGATACTGCTAAGTGAGTAATTATAGCTTGAGAAAACCGATTTTTACTATGGAATAGTCAAAGAAAAATTATAGCCTTAACAGCGTAATTTAATTTCATATTTATCAAATTTGTGCTAGAAAATTATTACCTTTAACAAAAAATCCCAGAAATCAGTTGAAATTCTACAGTCCATTAAAATAAATTTAACAACAACTGGTTTCATAAATATACATAAACAACAGCACTAGTTTTATTGATCCACTGAACTTGAATGATAATTTAAGACTTGGCTATAAACTCCACCAAAATCATCCACCTGAGCTATAAATCTTCTCCATCATCATAAAATACACCTCCTTAGTATGATGTACCTGATTAAAATAAACGTTTGCAGTGTGAGTAACGACAATAAACAATATTTCATTTCCATTTCAAGTGATATGAGGCAGTATTGCTTCGTGAATAAAACACTTGATATGCACCAACTGACAGATCTCAGTTTCAAACCCTTTCTACTTAAATCTGGATAGTTAGTTAGTATCACTCTCACTCATACAAGAAAGTGAGACAGAAAGACGAGTATCCGACGAATAAGTCACCTGCTTTATCTAAAAGATGCAGGATTGTATAAACGTTCAACTTATATTCATTTCTATTACTATGTATAAAACACAGAGTTGGCTAACAGGACGCTATTAATTTACATGAGCATTTAGTGAATAAATCAACAATTCCTTAGTTGTGTAATGACACGATAGGAACACATACAAAGGAATATTAGTAAGTACAAATGAATTACCATGAAATACCTGGTCTCGTTAAAGCCTCAACTCCCGGTAAATTGTTCAAAACTAAATCTCCAGCTCCAGAAGAACTAGGAACTGTAATCTTAAAATTGGCTAATTCTGTCTCATAATGTTTCAAGATATCTGAAGATGCTTGTCGTGTTGAATCACATGAAAATATCCGAATCATCGAATCACTATGAAAGAAATAGAGCATATAAATTGCCTTTAGTACACTTGATCAACTCAATAAAGTTAGATAGTCTATCCAGATAAAGGAAGCCAATCAGATAGAATTTACCTGATAGGCTTTATCTTCTGTTTGTATTAAATCATTCCTAATAACAATCAAAATTGAGAGCATTTACAATAATCTGAAAGATTGTTAACTACATCGCCTATTATTTAACATTGATTCCGATTAGTAATTTGGTGAAAATAAAATGAATCCACTGGTTAAACGCAATGACTGCATATTTTTATCGTTATTGTCTTTCAGGAAGATATCATGAACTAAAACTTAAACTAGTTGAAGAGTCAACTGATTGATTTACTCATGAACCAAGTACAAATTTCTGCAGTCAACTTTGAATTATATATTAGTTGTGTGAGAGCAACAAGCACTACTCAATTGCCCGAACAGAAGTAAGTAAAATGGAGTTTGAGCCTCAGACCGACAAACTGAAAACCAAATGGCATAAGCATTACAACCAATGCATTCATTCTCAATTGAAAATTAGCAAAGAATTTTGACTTTGAATCAGTCAGTCGATTATGAACGATATAGGACTTTACATAAAATATTCAGTGGTCATATTGCTACAGTTCACACACACACGTCGGAACGTCATCACTATATGTGCAATTCCAGCACAAAATAGATATATAGTGATTTATAACTCCATAAAATCTGTAACAATTTTTAAGTATCTTTTAAGAGCAGGACCTGTGAATTTCAATCTAGCCTAGTTGAACACAAATTATCTCTATATAATTCACCCTCCAACAAATGTACTTTCAAAGGATTACATGTAATTATTCATCCCCAGTTAAAAACCATAGGTAAAGTATTCGCTTTACGACTAAATGGAACCAACATCAAATTAACAGCAGCGAAGATGAGTGGAACTTGTTTTACATGTACATAATCACCGTTGACTTAGACGTTTCATAGTTGGCTATAATTAGATGGGATTCGTGCAATATGCCTCTTTTAAACGGTTTTCTTTGTCATCAAAGAGGGGGTGTGGGTTTAAATCAATTGTAAAACGTTTAAAGTCTACATTTTATAATTTAGATGGAGGGAATTTATCAGAGTAGACTGAAAAAAACGTTAGATTAGTTCAGGAAGATTTAAGAATCCCAGTAGATTTCAAACTCGATTATACAACTTCTTACACTGAATAATTACCTGCCTCCGACAATAATATCACCATTCGGTACCATAGCTACACACCACGCAGACTGACATGGCAACAGAATAGTTTGAAAGCAACTAAAATGTTTTTCAGGAGCCCATTCACTTGCCGAAGGTAAGAGCCAGACACGAATACTTCTATCCTCACCACAGGAAACAAATTTTGGAAAATTAGGTGAACAAGCCAATCCATAAACAAAATTTGTGTGCCCATAAAACTCTCCAATACATTTACCCGTAGTAGCATCCCAAGCTCTTATACTGGCATCATTGCTTGCTGATAAAAATCGTGAATCATCAATACGTGCCAAGGCACGTACACAGTCTTTATGTTCATTTAAAGAATTTAATAAAATTATGTCAGGCGAACTTATATCTTGATTAAGACCACGTAGGCACCATATACGTATAGTTTGATCAGCTGAACCAGAGATAACAATTAAATCATCAATATGACCGGTTATATTTACGGCCGACATAACGAGTACACACCATACTGCTGCTTCATGTCCTATACATAAGAGAATTAACTGCCGATTTTATGATAAAATAATAGGGAGTTATTAATAAATTACCAGTGAGTATGTTGCTAAAAATTACAACGAACTGATCATCAAATAGCTGGAACAGCCATTTATAGTGGAAATTAGTTGTAATAATGTATTTTTGATTCTATAGTCATACTGATAATGATAACTGTCGCAAACAATATCAACTGAGAGATCACTTCTATCATATCATGTAGACAGCAATCTAAAAATATTCTTCATGATTCCCCTATAAAAACATGCAGATTAGTAAAACCAGCAAGATCAAATAATAGACTTTAAGTAACATTTACCATTTGATAATAAATTACCAGTCAGCTGGCACTAAAAAGAGTAAGTTTAAACAAGCTAACTGTTCAGACTACTGCAATGAAATTGCTACACTACAAAACGTAAGTGTTGAATACTATTTTGGAGAATATATTTCTGCTTTTGACCCTATTCAAATATCTCTATTATTTGGCAAATTTATAAGATGATTAACTAATTATACTCTTATTTCTGTGAAAGTGAAAAATATACTATTTATGAAGAGTTCAACTTTTTTACTTAATGAGACTCATGTGTTCGAAGTAGAGCTTTCATCTTTTGTTTCTCCTTTCTCTACCGTATCCCCCAACCCTATTTTAGCGAAGTATAGCGTTTGTTTCTGGATGACCCGAAATGAAAAAGTTCCTAACAACTTTTTGTAATTAAAAAAGGAAATTATTTATTATAAATACTTGACATTTTAGAAACCGGAAATAATTATATAAACTTGCAGATAATTCTTAAACTTTTTTCAATAAAAAACATGGATATGATGCTGAATTGTATGAATTTAGTCAACTTTAGAAAACAGTATTCAGAAGTTACCGATGACAACCAGTTAATAACGTTATCACATTTTTTCACCCTAATATTCCAAATTTTACAAAAAACATTTTCATTTAAAACTCACCTGTGAGAGTAGAAACACACTTTTCTTCCTTCCATATTTTGATTGATTTATCCCAAGAACCACTAATTATGGTTTTGTGATTTCCAACAGCTAAAGTACACACTGGTTGGAGAAACAAATGAGTAATGTAATATCCACTAAGAACATACCTGTATCTTTATGCCCTTCTAAAGTGAAAAGAGCTTCTGGAGACATAGAATTATACCCTCGAATTAGTTTATCATGTGATCCTGTTAGAATACGACATTCGTTATCTAAATCTTGACAACACACAGCTGATACATAATTCGTATGCCCGAGAAGAACCATATCTTCACAGCCATCGCAACCTTCTCTATCAAATAAAAAATTTATTTTCCGTTAAATTTCCAACATACTTAAAAAAACCTTGATGAATTATAACATAATTTGCGAAATTAACAACTACTACTATTAAGGTGCTCAGTAATATCCAGATAGTAAGTTGATAAATAAAAGTGGCTACCAATACTGTTTGAGACTATCCAGTTGGAAAAAGTCAGCTACTCAGCTACACATATATGCATCGGTCCAGGTTGCCAGGATGGAAAAAGAAAAACTTAAAACTGACCAACGTTCGTATGAACCCGTACCTGCAATAATCCTTAATGGTGAACCTTCAAACATTATTGATAAATTCATGTATCGGGATAATCATATGTATGATACCGAAAATGTGATAAGACGAATTTTGTAAACCAAAAACCGGAGGAATATATGCTGATCTAGATTACCTTCAGCACTGTCAAGAAGCTAGTTTAGCAGAGAAAAGATTGGTTGCACGATTAAGTATTGTTGAGCATTTGAAGACCTTAACTTATTGAGAGGAAAATTTCTCATCACTCATTCTGTAAACTTTACTACCTGTCCTACTAGTAACAGGAATTCTGTCCAATAACGGATTTTCGTGTACCTTACAGTTGATAGACATAATAATAGTTACGATATAGCCTGTATACATGACTTATCATAACTACGGTTAGTAAATGTAATAGTATTAGTTTAAATAGAAAGATGACTAACTTGGAAATATGCCATGTCCTTGCTGTTAAATCCCTTGAAGCAGAAACAATCCTGGTATCTGAAAGACAAGTGACTGCACGGACGTCGCTCTTATGACCCGATAGAGTGCATCTCAGCTTGTAAACTTCAACCATATTTTAAGAAGTATGCAGTTACAATATTATTTTTACAGCCTCACAGGACTTATTAATTCGAACAATCTGTCAAAATATAAATATATTCGCGAGACTGGAGCATTAATAGGTGAAATGGAGAATAAGTATTTGAAGACTAATATAGTCCACAAATGCAATACAACCAGAAAAGCTAAACTAAGTACTTCCTTATGTTACTCCTAACCTGGACAAGTGATATTACGCAACAGTTGAACTGAATGAAATATAATCCAACAAGAGTCAATTCGGCTCATTATACGATACTACTAAATTTGGCTCAAAAAAAGAGTTCTCCCCAACTCAAATAACTTGTGATGCCACTGCTGCTCGATAATTTAATAATGATGTTTTTTAAAGTGATGACTTTTTTTCCTTATCGCTAGTATCAAAGTACTCAGCAAAGTTTATTGCTAGGCTGGTTATGCATTGAGTTGAAAATAGTGCTAGTCTACCGATACTGCTAGGATATCAAAACTAGCGTTTGATTACACTACCAGATAACAAATACTTAGTACATTATACAATAAGTAAATGGTTAATTATCACGTTATAGTGACTCCATATAGATTTGGTAACCATAGTTCTGTATAACTCCAAGTGATCGCATATATAAGAAACATCCCTAGAAGTTCCCTTGAACTGCTAAATGAAACACTTTACGGACCATGTACATAGAAACACACAACAGACCTTACATAAATACAAACCTATCTAAAAATCAAATGCTTTATACGTAAATTCCAAGGCACCGACAGTTGTTTGAGAACACTGTCTCAACATCCAACCCTATTCCAGTAATATACTGAGGATCATCATAGCATTACACATTTATTGAAAAGTCAATGTGTAACACAGATGGGCAAAACCAAGTCCGAACGTGAGAGTCACATCGACTAACATTTTAGTAAATCTAGGCGTTTCATCCTTAGGTTTTTGTGCAAAACCAAGTTTTTTAGCGTGTTTTAAGATATAAACAATTTCATTACCAAAAACAAGGTGAATGAATGAGTCTTGAATCACAAATTAGTTACTTTATGCGTGTCTGATATAATTTTACACAAAGGATCACTTTTATGGTCAATCAAATAAGTGCTACTCTCGGATTTTTAAAAGTTTACCGAGGATAAATACCCATTACAGTTACGAAAAACCTTTTTAACGGAGTCGAAATCACCATATAAGATTTTCCTAATGGATTCTGTTTGCTTCCTATTGCAGGGCGACCAAGGATAAACGCTTTGGAAGAAGAGCAAGCCTTGTGTGTACTGAACCTACAAGATGACCCATAAGACTATTTTGTAAGCTAGCCATTTCCTCATCTAGATGTCACGGTACGACAGAAATAAGTACGCTCGGGTTTCGTCGAAGAAGTGGTGCCCGGGCCACTAAGAGAACACTTTCCCCGAAGCCCACCAGTTGATACAAATGGTGATGGAGGTGTTTACGGGAAAACGCGACGAAAACCTAGACAAACCCCGGTGATTCCAGTCGAGGCAGCACCCGGTTCAATCTTTCATCAGCCGTTACTGCTTGAAGCTTTGGAAAGTGAGAATCCGACCGATTAACTTAACTCCTTGCAGCAAATTCGCGGAACATGTACAGAAAGAATAGCTAGCTTACAAAACAGTCTTATGAGTCGTCTTGTGGGTTCAGTGCACTCAAGGCTTGCTTTTGTTCTTCCAAAGCGTTTATCCTTGGTCGCCCTGCAATATATTGCAGGAAGAAAACGGAATCCATCAACATCTTATATGGTGATTCCCCGTTACACCTATGTAACACGCGTAATCAGCAGTCACTGAAAGGCAGGAAGACCTAAAACCACAACACACAATGTTAACCGAGCACTTCACACGAGAGAGAGGACACGGGATGTAAACCACCAGTCGTTTATCTGAAAATTAAAATTCGCGGGTTATGTATAGAAGGAAGAGCTAGTTTACAAAACGGTCTTATGAGTCATCCTGTAGGTTCAGCGCGTGCAGAGCTAGCTCTTCTTTTTCTAAAGCCTTTATTCTTGGTTGCCCTGAAATAGGAAGAAAAACAGAATTTATTAATAACTCCACACCTTTTAGAATCAAATAGCCCACTAAGCATTAGAAGCAAGTGACGCTGAAATAACTCGTAACATCTTCGAAACCCAACAAAGCGTCATCTTCATAGAAAATCTTCGTAAGACACTCGGTAACAAATTTCGTGGGATTCTGTCAGTTTCAGCGTACCTTATTATTTCTAAAGCCATCCGTCATCACGTCAAGGAGTAGTTGGTTAGTCGATCCTCATATGATCGTTATGAGAAATAAATTAAAATAAATGACAACATAAAAAATTTGATATAAAATTGAAACAGATTTAAAAAACCAGAAATGAATTCCGAAGCACCAATGATGAAAAAACAATTTAAAAAGACTACAGTGCATAACATATGAGCATAAGTAATGCTGGACATAATATCATCACGCTTCATGCATTCATTCATTCATCATCAGTTTCAGTTTTGAAAGGACAGAAGGCAAGACCTGTGTTAGTCCTGGCAATGACGATCTCTTAGTTAATCCACTGTTGTTTTGAAAGCTTTAATCACGCGTTGAGGTTGTAGGACCAGTGAAATGTCACTGTGCCCTAGCAAAATCATCTATCCACACGGTCACTGAATGTTGAAAAGGTTTACCGGTCCTCATCAAGTTCATAAAAAACTATCGCTCATCAGTCAGTCTCACGTCATGCACTGGCCCATGCGGTGGTGGTGGTCGCTCTTTTGTTTGTACCTGCTCTAACGAATATATTTCTGTAATAACGTAATGTGTGTTATACGGTTCTCAAAGCAGCCATAGTACCAGGATGTGCTGACAGTGTAATCCACGATAGGTGCTAACCGCGAGGTAGCTGCTACTCACACCATTCCAGTCTAACCAGAGTAGGCCCCCCAGTCAATCAATAAAGAGCACCTACGCTGATGATCAAAAAGGTATTGAATTTTATCCGTTTATGGTTCGATGAGAAAGTCCAGTAAGTAATTTGATCTAGACTTATGGACGTTTTTAGGGCGTCCTTGCAAATTCTCTTGTGTGGAAGTCGAGAAAAATGAGGGCATATCATGTGCAAATTTATCACAAAGTAATTAATGAACTGCGATCAAACCACCTCTGGGTCTTCTGTATGACAATGCAAATAGGTTTAGTTTAGCCAGTCGATTATCATACATGAGCTTTACTATCTCGATAATTAGCATATTTGCGGCTCTTTGAACCTTTTCCAACGACTCGCCATCTCCTTTTATGCAGGGGCTAGCTGCTTATGTGCGGCACTCGAGTTTGGAACAAGTGAATACTGTACACAAAGCCACAAAGGTTTTTGTATTGAAATAAATTAAAAATCCTTTGATTGTCATAGTGTTCAGAGTGTGTGCATGTGGGGTGCGTGCATGGACTGAAGTTTAGGGCAACTCCAAGGTATATGTATTGCTAATATAATCTGAGAACACCTGAACCATAACATAACCGTCACTCACTAATGATTCAGTACTACTGTCTTCTCACAACGCTGCAAAGCTGTCTCTTTTTTTAGTCCTTTGGCTCATGTATTAGTGTAGGCATTTATGATTTGCTGTAGACTCCTCAACCAGTTTTTCTTCATAAAATCTTTTAGACTTACGAAGGGTCGATGCAAAAATATTTCGAACTTCCCGATATTGAGATTTCATCTTATCAGCGACCAGTAACCTAACTCCCTCTCAAATTCTTCTATTCTTACGGAGAAGTAAAATCTCAGTTGAGATTCTTTCGAGGGACTTAGCATATCGGCGATTTTTTATATGTGGTTTGAAATGCCTTATATGTGCCCAAGTAAACTAAAACAAGTTAAGACCATGTTGCAGATGGAAACATATGCTTTCTCACATAATAGTTTTTACATACGTTTAATCACTTCTATTCTTTGAACCAGTTATATACCGTGCGTAGGAGGATAGCTTATCAGTTAGCAGGATGAGCCGGGCAGAGTTTGGATGTGTTACAAAATGTCATTCATTATGGAATCATTGAGAGTTGTAATGTTTACAAAGAACATATGCCTATGAATAAAGCTTTAGACGAGTAGGTGAGTTATACACAGGGACGACCTACTTGTTGTGGTCATTGGGGACTCAGCATCGCTAACACATGGAGTCGTCTGTGCTAGAACAATTTTTTGGCAAGATACAGGAGCAATATAAGGGGATGCATCAAACAAATTATTCCATGATAGTAATCCGGAAGCGACCTCCGCTACTGATAATACTAGTGAGCTGACGTCTATGAAATAGTCATGTGAATTCGAGAATGGTCAACCTTCCATAGGCCACCTGGAAAATTCGAAGACTAAATGTACCGTGTATCCATGGTTCAGCAGCCACTAGCCTAAGCTTATTAATGAGTGACTTTAAAAAGCAATGTGTTAGTGGAAAATATGAGAAAGGCATAGAAAGACGTAGAACGAAGTGGATTTTGAGATCTCTGGGGAAACATCTGGTGGATAATACATGCACATGACTCAGTTGTGCATTTTAAGAAACCGGATGACGTTCGTGTAGTATTTGGCTACTATATCAGTAATTAAATTCTGTCGCTGAGTGGTACGCTCAAAAGTGAGCCAAACAGGATCGTTTTCATTGAAGTTAGTCAATTGGTACTGTTGATTTTGCCTGGCTCAGTCGAATCACGCTCACTCATTTCTTACAATGTAAGCGTGATACGATTAAGACCAATCATTGCACTAAGTTCTATTTATTTGGACAAACTTTGTAGATTACAGTCCGTCGGTGATAATTTATTTTGTGATTTCTCAGTTAATTCTTGTCCAAAGCTGGATGATTTTGTTGATGAAGAGGAAGAAGACCCAGAACTAGTGGAAATTCGTGATGTTTCAACAACTTATCCAGATTTTATGAAGTGTTACTGGCCACGTACTAGTTGATCGTTGTATTCATATGCTCAACGGTGAGTCATCCTAATAGGGCTCCATCAATTCACAAACGTGACTTAGATTCAACCTTCTAGGGGAACATTCTGTACAAGACAGTGTTTAAGAGAAAGAAAGTCTTGATCCGTTGCGTTATTGAGGATGTGATGATCTCTAAAGAGTAGACTGTTCTTTAATTCATGTTTGTGGATATATATAGTGAATTTTAGGCTATCACTATCCTACCACATCTGAGAGCCCTGTAGAATTGTGGTCTACTTCGATATTAGTACTACTCTAATAATGGACTTAATCCTAAAACTGCAGATTTTTCATGACATAACAGCCTAATCTATAACATCTTACGTGCAAGTCACATCATTATCTACACCAATTCATCACATCGTACCAATCACTAATATATGATCGAGAACAAACTTAGGCTACAGATAGAACAATACATTTATTATGAATTAAAGATTACTCTACAACACTTAAAAGTGACCACGCCTACAAGGCTGAGCCATGCCGTCCGACCAATTCCGATTCACTGAATTCATTTCTCCCACCTTCTCCATTGTTGGGTTTTTCTCCGCATTAAATATTGAATGTCTATTTCCCCATTTGTCTCGTGTTCAACTTTGATGATTATGTGGTCAGAGCCCAACGCAACTACAGATCTACCTCCTCTAAACAAAGCTGCGTCTGTTTTGCTTTTTCCACTGTTGTGATTATTTATGCACTCTAGTTTCTGTTTCGGAACTTAATAACGGCTTTGAAGGTTTGTTGTTTGGACATTTAGTTCCTTTACATTGTTTCTAATAGACCGGGAGAGTTGTATTCCGAACGAGGTATTTCTATTCTGGTCCTCGTCCGCATAGCGTTTACAACTTCCGGGATTAGTTGGGGAGTACTTAATCTTTGCCCTTTTTAATAATGCTGTATGTCAGCCTCCGCAACATCACATGAGATCCATAGGGTTAGAAGAGATTCTTCGTGAGCAGAGTAAATGACTTGGACTGCTAGACATATAGCACAACCATCTGACTGGGGCATGTGACGATGATCTGCTGTGCAGATCTTACAGACGGTTTCTGAATTTATGTTTGCGCTACGGATGATTTGTTGGAACTGGTATTTTCCTTTTACTATTGGGCAACCCGTGAAATCGAGTTGATATTTATGTAGTGAGAAAGTTTTGTGTCTTGCCTGTAATTGGATTACTCTTATCCCTACGTTTGAATGGCAGAGGACGACTTCAAACATTTGGAAATGTACAGTAATACAGTTTAATCACTCTTCCTAGACAGCCCTGGTGAGTTTAACATAAAGTTGTAATTTGATGTGTGTTGAGCAGTAACAATCAGATGGATTGAGGTCGTAACACCCAATGTTAATTAGTAAGGAGTCCAGCGAAAACCTGACATCACAGCAGCGTGTTTCAGGTTTACTTACGTCCTCGTTTTTTAGACATCAGATCTTCCGTTCCTGACTCATAGTGATGAGGTATTTGTTTGAGTCTACTTAATCACTGTGTTGGGTATTAAGCATCGGGACCAGACGAATATGGCTCTTCCGTGACTGACCGACAAAACAAGGGAGTAAAGATTTATACCTAACAAAATCATTGGGTGTTTGACTAGTGATATGTGACGCTAAGTCGATGAAAAGAGGCTGAAAATAATATCTTGAAAGAACATTTCTGTATGTTGCTTGAAAGATTCTCACCCGATTTCGAATGTTCTGGAACAAGTAGACACGATAATATTTGAAGCTTCAAAATGACATCTACCTCACTTCACCAGCCAAGATCTGAAAAACGATTCGCAAAATTATCACTTGAAAAAAATCCATATCACAAGTTCATATTACGTTTCTTGAGTAGGGTGTCCTGGTATTCAGAAGGTTGATGAAGGCAAATGATGCAATTAATGACTATTCAAAGTGGTGGTGATACCAAAGAAGTGAAGAAGTAGTTGTTTTCA